TCTAAACTAAGAAATTTATAATGTGACTTTTGATATCATGGGGTTTTGAAAAACAACTTAAACTGTATTAAATTGAGATACCGGATTTGGAGTGGAAATGAGCGAATAAATTAAAAATTATTGGCTTCCACAAGGCCAACCAAATTTAATTAACATATATTCAATTGAAGGTTTGATATTTGTTCGGAAATGAATAATTTCTTGTTGCGATAGTGTTATTAAAAAAGTAGAATCCTTAAGAATCAATAATTGACTCTGATACAAAATACAAAATTAGGAATTGATCGTGTTTTGTTGTTTTTGATATCATCCACATCCAGAGGGCCAGTCACTTTCGAATGTATGGAAATGCATGAAAATTTTCAGTTTTTATTCATTATCGTCTTTATGGGCAATTTTAGATGCACAAAAATTGCACGAGTACATTACTATGGTGATAAGGTAAACACACGTTTATGTGTTTCCTTATGTGAAAGCATGTTTAGTCACAAATCGTGGATTTTCTGATATTCTCCATACTGCTAAAATGATTTTCCTACCACTGGAGGGGCGACATCTCTCGGATCTTCAGTATAGCTACTACTCAAATCATATAATTAATTACCACAACTTTTATAAATGGTGGCTATTGATGGATGGATGACGAGTTAAATAATTCACTTAGTAATTAAACCATAAAGTTTAAATTTACCATATAAGTATAGTACCAAAACTGTAGATTCACGTCTTAAACTTTAATCAGTAAGGTTTCATTTATTTCATGATTTCTGTTATTTCTATCACTCGAACCCTGTCTGGAATTTTTCAGAAAAACGTCTGGAAAATCGAGGAATATCAGGGAATTCATTTTTCATCATATTAGATTCAATCAGAGATCAAAATTCTCGCTCAGCAGCAGGATAGGCAAAGACACACTCAAGTTGATTTTCGCTGAGAATCGACAATATTTTCATCTCTCATTCCTGAACGAATATTCGTTTTCCTTTCCTTTCCTTTTCTATTCCAAGAAAATATCGCTCTCTCAAAATCGGTGAAAACTCTTTTTCATCTCCCATTGGACACCGACAATATTCGGTAGTGTGTTTCTGGAGTGCAGCAAATGAGCGTTTGAGCCCAATGGAGTGTAAACAGGTCAATATGAATTTATCGGCTCTTTTATCTCTATTTTATGGCCCAGACCTGATTGTTCCATATTAATTGCTTCTTTTGTTCTCCTGCTGTTTATGCCGGAGTTTAACGTCACACTCAGTAAACCATTTAAATAGCGGGAGAACATTGATAAAATATCACATAGGAGAAATGGATGTAATGTCGGCCTAAAAGCCCCTAATTTAAGCCCATACATAATTTCAGCAAATCGACTAAATTTTCAAAAACGGTCAAAAAATATCCATTAGTACCGTCCCAATGACGCGTTCATCTAGATAAAATTAATAAATAGCAGATGTTTAACGGTGGGCCCAATCTTAGATCCATTGGCCAACATAAGAACCATTTCCCCTAGTCCATTTTACGAAATGACAAAAGCCAGCTTTCCTGGCAAAATTGGTTGATATTGATGTTGCTGCTCACAATCGTTAGGTGACTGTCAAAGTTCTGTCTTACATTCAAAACTCAGCTGATTAGAAACTTCTCATAAAATGCTGGTTTGAGCCAACTAAGGTCCAAAACACGAGAAAAAGAAGGAGTCGCTGTTTTCTTTCGTAAGCAATATTTATTTTGATGAGCAATATCCCAAATTATACAACTATTCCACAAATGGTTTGTATGGTACTCGGAGCATCTAGAACCACACTACCGTTCATACTGGCGATATCGATGAGACAACGAAACCCTACCCCAAAGCTCCTCCCCTTTTCCTATCCTTCGATAATGTACCCCTCTAACCTCAGGTAAGCCGCGAGCGAGTATTCGGCCCAAATGAATTATCGGCTCCGTAAAACTAACGCGATTGAACCTTACACATAAATGAACTAGTTAAAAAAAACTGGTAATAAGTTTTGGGTGGATGTTGGAGATTCGGCTGCTGTAGTGAATGTTGATACATCGAGTGGTGGAAGGTTGGCGTGCTGTGCTGGTGATGAAGTGTTGCTTCGGAGTGGGATCTGATTTTCTGATTGGTTGGGGTGGATCGTGAAGTGGATGCATGTCAACATTATGTTGATTAACGTAGCTTGATAGTTGTTTTGGCGTAGGTATCTGAAGAAAATTGTTTTCTGCTGGTTTAGGGTTTGGGCTGTTTTCAATTTTATGACGCGATTGATGAAGTTTTGAGCTTCATTCATTTTCATTGCCGTTGACTATTGGCTTGCTATACTAACAGGAAACCAAAATATGTAAAATCAAACACAACAACGACTTAACTATGGACAATAATGACAGACAATATAAGTCAATCAAACAATATTTTTTTAAAACAACTAATTAACTATGTACAATACAGATTTTCTCTTGAAAAAGCCACAACCCATGGCCGAAACGTCGGGCGGATTACATCGTAGTCGTTAGAGTAAATATTTAAGACTGAGAAAGCCGTTGAACTAAGCGATCGTGTTATAATTGAACAATCAAGCTAAGTGATTGCTATTGATGAATCATATACATATATGAAAGTTAAGGGAGAGTCCATAAGAGCAACCGATTGAAGCGATTTGGATAGGGAGAGTAGCATTGACATCTCCTTGTCGCTAACATTTCGTGGATAAAGGGCGGGCTCTTCTTCACACTCATGGGGCATCGTTCAGAACGAGGGTTCGTTCTACTGCCAATTAAATAATCTTGATTTCAGGAAGGAGACCCTACTGTGGGTTTCGCGTATGTGTCTTTGCTTATGGGTCCACTCCTCCGTTTTCAGCCGTTCATACAGCGACAAGCTGCATATGATTTTGTCAGTGGGACTTGATCAAGTCGTTCTGCTAGGATAGCCCATTGCCTTGCTACATGAGTGGTAGTCTCAATAATCAACTAATTTGATTTTTTGGACTGTGTTGCCGTGCTTTAGCTACATTTTACTATAGTTGATGGGTATTTTGAGAATTTTAGATCATTTTGCATTATATATCAGCCTTACTTGTGCATCTATGTCAACTGTCCTCATAATTTCATAAATGACAGGTCTGTGGAGTCGGAGTTGGAGTCGGTACATTTTTTGCCAAAGTACGCGACGCCATTGTTAAAAGAGATCCATATAACTTGAAAGTTTTATCTAGATGATTTCGATCGAAGTTGTCGTTGATTTCGTTATGATCAATTCAATTCTTAGTTCTTTCTAGGCTTATTTCTTATACAATTGTGGCTAACATGTTTTCATACGTTTGGCGATTCATGATGTTCAATGACCCAATTTCTTTGATATAAAAACAATGATTCACTCTATAAAATTGAAATCATATATATGTAAATTATTATTGCATTTAGTTTGAAATGGAGTTGGAGTTGGCTATTTTTAATCAAAGGAGATGGAGTCGATTGATTTAATCCCAACTTCACAGGTCATGAGGTCGATAAAATCAAGTACATTTTTTATACTTAAGAAAGGCGATCGAATGCCTCGAAAGAACAAAACGTCCACTGTGATAGTGCTCCTGTTAGCACAGTTAGCTTTATACAGTTGTGAGAGGTACTTTACAGACTCCGATATAAGGTTTTTATTTAACTTCCTTGACCATTCATTCATTGGCACGGTAAGCCAGTGCAATGAATTTCTACCACCGAAATAGGCGATCTGATTAGTATGTTGGTTTAAAAGACACGCCTTCTCTAGGCTGATTGAACATAGTGGTCGAACTGCTGCATATCTCAGTATTTAAGTCCCTACTTTTTCGGAACTAGGTCCATTTTCGGAACTAGGTCCATGTTGTTATGCTTAATGATAATATCGTCATTTTAATAAAGAATAAATTAATAAACATAGCTTTACTACTGGAATCTTGAACAACAGCAAACTTCATCTTATTCCAAAAGAGAAAACAACACATGATGTATAAACTGCCGACTAACGATTCACTTGCTCCTCGCGCAATTCCTTATCAGCGACTTACCTGACAGCACTCGCTCTAGGTCATGGACGATACTGCTCAAGTTGTTTTGATCTTCAACTTCACATCTAAAGTTGTCTACTTACGCCGCACGTACGCCCTAGCCCTAGCTTCCACTTCCCAACTGAGTTTCCTCATAAGTGGGCAGCAATCCGTTAGTCACTCACTCTCCACCGTACATATTTCCTCAATTCGTATGCGCGTTGCTCTCTCACAGCGGATGCTTTCTCCCGCTCACCCGGTGTAAGTAGGTATCTATGCATGGTAAGGGAGATGGGGGTAAAATGTACATGTTAAGGAAAATCTCCGTTTAATCCACAAAGTGTTTCGATATTCAATTGCAATCTAAATATTGTGTTAGGCTACTGGCAACATTTCTAAAAAGCTTAAAAATTCGCTAATAAAGCCTTAAAAAATATATTGGCAAGATATTACAATCGTGATGAATGTGGGCAAAACCTGTAAAAAGAAAGGGTGAAGGATTCGTAATTTCCATTTAATCACACTACCTTAATTGCTTATCGTTGACAGTTATGAGTATTTCGTCTACAATGTGCTTGAGTGCCGACTCTAGTATTATACAAGACACCAGTGCATCATTCAAATCGTTAATTTTGGTAGTGTTCAGAGATACCAGCTGTTTCAAGAAATATCTTTCCTTGCATTTTTGGTTTTCTGTCGTAATTGTTTTTCAATATTATACATTTCAAATGACTTTCATTAAACAGACTTTTACCTTCATTCACATAGTACATTTAAAGTTCAACGTATTACAGCAATTTTTCGCCATCATCTAAAACTAGCAACTGATTTTTCCCGCTATGGGCGTTTCACCCCAATTTCCCCATACATAGCAAGATCTCCTTGTGAAGCAAAAACGACACGCACCTTCCGACGATCAAGGGGGATCCCGCGGCCCCAGCCGAGCGCCAAAACGGATCAACCGTCAGTCATTGACGAGACACGAACCGATTCGCAGGTGAAACGCTTACCGCTCTGAGCTGAACCGCGAACCTGTGCCCCGGACGCATCGAACTGTTTTTTTTTCTGTACGTTGCTCGTTGTTTGCTTTCGTGGAACAATACGGGAGATTTGAACGCGTGTATAAGCGAGGAAATTTGGCGAGAGTAACAAGGTGCTACATTTTCCCTTATGGGGTTTGGAGAAAAAAGTGTAATCATTTAATGACCGTTGATTTGGGCTGCTTGATTTGTGGAATTGTGCGGAAGAAAGTGACCGTGAAACACTTCTTTCCCGTCCGTCCCAACGAGGAACGTGGCGGTGTGAAAGAAGATTTCAAATAACTTAAAAGCAACTGTTCGGGAAAGATGTCCTCCAAAAGAAAGCTGTCATAATTTATTTTTTCGAGGTGTTTTGGTTTGGAGGTGATGAGCGTGGGATTTTCTTTTGTAATTGAGGTACTATAGGACACAAAGACGAAACACAAAACTGTGCCAAAGTGAAGCCTCCTTGGTTGTGTGAATGATCCAACAACAACGGTGGAGAAAATGTGTCAATTGGTGTGAGCTTGGAGAAATGAGTGAGTGGTACGATGATTTCGAGCTGAGTTGCGTAGATTGTTGGTAGATTATACAAAAAAAAAAAAAAAACAGAGCTGCAGTGCTACGATTTGTGTCGGTACAAAACGGTGGTGTGTGCTATTTGTTGCTGGAAAAAATTCGATGAATGAATATCGATTGGGATCGCACGAGCTGGCTGATTGGAAGAGGAGTAACAATCGTATGAATTAATATTGTTGGTTTATATCGACTCGGCACTGTTTGCGGCTTCACCATTACCGTTGTGTTGTGTGTTGCTTTCTTCTGTGCACAGAAAAGCTTCGATGCGGGCGTTGTTTGGATAAATTCATGTTTTAAAGAAAGGAAACCTACAGAGAAGGTACACATTGGATTTGATTTCCAATGATAACTAAAACAGCTTGTAGTGATGAATTAGATTGATGATGTGGTAAACATGGCTTGGAATTTAAACTAAAGAAAATGGTGAAAGTACTGATAAAAATTTGGTTTACAAAAATCAATCATCATCAAAATACAATCAGCTCTGTCAAAAGATTAACATTGCGGGTCGTGCACAAATTATGAGTCATTATTAGACTCCCCTCCCTCTTGTAAGATACTGTAAGATTAAAGTTACCCCTCCCACCTCTATATATTTTGTAAGATCTCAGAATCTAAAAAAAAAAATCGATAAATATTGAATTTTGAACATTTTTGTGAAAACTTACCACTTTTTCATATAGGGGAAATGTTGGATTCGGCAATACCTTAACCTATTATCGTCAGGGGGTAAACAAAGTCTTAGAGCACTCAAATTTGGCCAATAGTTGCTCTGAAACTCAATGCATCCACATGCAAGAATTGAGTTCTCAAGGACGTTGTTTACCCCCCTGGCGATAATAGGTTAAAGTTTTGCCGAAGTCAACTTTTCCCCTACTTAATCATCTATTCAGGTTTTTTTGGCATAAAGCGGTAAAGATCGAATAATTTTCTGCTATCCATTATATCTTGTGTATGCAATTACCCTTTACATAATCTGTGATGATCCCTTGCAAAACAGAGCAAGTCGTATCTAGTCTACCAAGAGCAAAACTGCTTTGGAGTATGAATATAGCCCAAAACGAGCAGGATGGGGAGAATGCTTCCCCCCTCAATACTGTAATCTATGTTAGCAGAATCTTAAAAAAAAGTATTATTTATTAAGTTAGTCTCATATTTTTTAGAGTAGCAGGATCATATGATCATGATTGTTTGAAAGCTGGGATGAATAAATGAGAGATAAATTTACTCTTTTAATTGTTTTATATACCTTGAACTTTGAAAAAATCCTATTCAGATACAATTTTTTGAGATCTCGAAGTACGAAAATTTTGCAAGATTCTGGGTCATATATATTTATATTTTTACTGGATACTGGAACAAAGGTTGGTACCTATTCAAGATATTCGAAAAATATGCGAAATCAGATCGTTGAATTTTTTAGAAAATTTTGATAATTTCTAATGAATTTTGAGAAGAATTCAAACAAATTTCGTTAAGGTTTTAAATTGTAGAAATTAGCAAAGTTTGAAACACTTTTTGAATATCAAGGTATGATGTATGTTGAAGATCGATGCTAGGGATGTTATCAAAGTCAGAATCCTTCATGATTTTAGATGCTCTTTGATTGCAACTATCTTTTAATCAGCTGTTACTAGTTGCTCTTCATCAAAGATGTTGGCTGGCAACTCAACAATGTGGACTGTTTCAGACACGAAATCTTCAAGCGGACCTACAACCAACTGGTGTGAACCGAGAAAGTAGTTTCCAAAGGCGTTTGGCTTTTTAGCAGGTGCTTAAAGATGATTACCATCTTCTAGTTGATTGAAGTTATCTTTAAGCACCTGCTAAAAAGACAAACGACTTTGGAAACCACCCCCACCAAAGGGAGGGAGTATGTTTGGGAATTTCTTAAGCAGCATGAAATTTAAAAAGGCTAATATGGGCTTTCCCAAGTTTCTAAGGCTGAGAAGTTCCGGTTCAGCAAAACTTCGATCGCATTTTTTTTTATTTGAATTAGTTTTCCACACGGGCAGTCCACTGATATTGCCTTTGGTTGATCAGGGTTAAAAGCTGGTCATGACGAGAGGAGCAACACAATAGTTGGATAAAGAAGAATTGCATTATGACACACCATCGACTAGAAATGCTCTAGCAACGTGTGGCGTTAGGTAGTGATGAAAAGTCGCTAGAACTATTCCACAGTCGCAGTCAGTTTATGAGCAAAAGAAGGACGCACATTTTTTGCCTGTAGACTTGGAGACATACTTCAAGTCTCCGCGTACATCGTACGAGTTAGGCAAAAGGTGTGCGTTTGACTTTATACTGTCGCATTAATGGCCCTTCGCTCATTTTCAACTTCTATTCAATTTTCATACCGTACTCTAACGGAGCTATCCACCTACCCTCTTCTAAAGATCATTCTCTAGCTAATAAATTATCACACTAAAGCTTCATGTTAGCATTTCCAAGCAACTCTGAAAATCGCAAACTTCGCGTATGAAGTAACATAAAAACACATCATAATCGAAGGACTTACGGATAACTTCCTGGACTTCTTCGACGACTGTAACGATGCAACTCCACACCATTTCCAGCGGCTCTGATCCAGTCATATTCGGATTGGCAAGCACGAAGGTGTACTAATAAGTTCAATATGAGATCCAGAATTCCTTCCAAAGAGTAAAGGGATATTCCATGGGTCGAAGCGTTTGCTTATGTACGGTGCAAACCTGTAGACAGTGGCAGCATCTTGGTCTAGACGATTCTGAGTAGAGTCTGCAGTTGTTGATCTCGCTGGATAGATGTAGATCGGGAACGGTGGAAGTACTAGTATCATTTGATGTGTTGGTGGGAAGTGCGCCTGCGTTCTCGTTGGGACCCGGTGTCTTCCTTTTTGATTTCTTATGGAGGTTTGCCGTCGGGTTTTTTTTTTTAAATGAGATCCCCCGTTTGGGGATTGCTTGAACCATGAAACCTTAGTTGGCGAATTTTGGTCATATTGTCGTCGTCAGTATAGTTGCCACAGTGAGCTTTCATATTGCTGTTCTTGGTGCCATGGCAATTTGTTTACAGTGCGACATCCCGACGCTTCGGGTGGTAACAATGTACGAATTGTCTGAATGGCAGCAAAGCTGGTGGATACCCTTTCGAAGTGAATCAGGTACAAGGTCCTACACACTTATTTTTTTCTACCGAGCTCGGCTGTGCAAATCTCGGCAAAAAAAGTTTCACTGAGATCTCAGCAAACATTTCATTTGTTTGCTGAGATTCAGCTAAGCATTATCCGAGACTCAGCAATCAAACGTCACTGTTGCTGAGATCTCAGTGAAACTTTTTTTTGCCGAGATTTGCACAGCCGAGCTCGGTAGAAAAAACTAAGCGTGTAGCTTCAGTGTTTGGAAAAATTCAAAAACTCAAATCGTATGCGTGAGATTATTCGCCTATGAGTTTTGCCTTGCAAAATTCAGCGGCGCAAAATCAAAGGTGAGTTTTTCGGTTCAAAAACGGATTCTCTTATATTTTGCATTGTTGTTAGTGTTATGTTTGCATTATTTGTTGGAAAACTAGCATTTATATGCATGCCATCAATTGATGTTTGACCGGATTTTATGAGTTTTAAGATGGAATGAATTTTTGGCGTTGTGAGTGTGAGTGCGTGAAAATTCATGAGAAGCGTGAGATTTGTTTGCAAAATCGCTCGTGAGTTTATTCACTCAGAAGTGTTCAATGAATGAGATTTGCTTATACCACGTGAGATTTGATTATACCACGTGACCACGTTGATCGGCTTGAGTTCAATCGTCTCAACTCCGCATTGATCTCCGTGGATTGGAGTATCGATTGACCACGAATGTCCACCAAGAATGGCTGGCTTCCTGAGATATTGTGGGTATGACATTCGAACTTGTTTACTTCACAGAATCCCAAACTTCTCTGTAGTAATGTGGTGTTTACATCTGTGTATAATGTAAACAGGGCATCAGCGTCTACCAGCATGAGATTTCAGGAGCAACTTAAATTCGTGCCAGTACACTAGCGCTAGTAAATCCGCACAGATGTAAACACCCCATAAGCCAATGTGGAGCATACAATGTTCATACCGCAGATCTTGAACAGCGGATGGATTCGATGTTTCACAAGCTCACCTCTGATCAGGCCTATTTCCTTCAACGGGCAACGGGGGACCTTTTCCCTCTTAGATTTTCCGATTTTAAGCTATGTAATCGATTGTCGATATAAGATCAATCAAACAACTGTATATGGGGTTAGATCATTGTGGAGATAAACACATAAATAAATTATTTAATCTTCTTCTTCTATATATATAAAAATGAATTTCTGTCTGTCTGACCTTTATAGACTCGGAAACTACTGAACCGATTGGCGTGAAAATTTGTATACAGGGGTTTTTGGGGCCGTGGAAGGTTCTTAGGATGGTTTGAGACCCCTCCCCTTTCTGTAAGGGGGGGCTCCCATACAAATGAAACAGAAATTTCTGCATAACTCGAGAACTAATCAAGCAAATGGAACCAAATTAGGCATGTGGGGGCGAGTGTGGGGGTATAAGGAGATA